TATGTGACCCAAATACTCTAGTTTTCTTCTTTTTATGCTGTTCATAATTTCTCCTTATTAAACTCCTTATTTAGACGTCGTAGTACCTCAGCATTGGTAATCCTTTGAACCCACTGAATTTTTAATATTCTTCGAACGCTTATGTTTTTCTTATGTGTTGTTTCTTTAATATCCAAGCTTCCATTCCGTATAGTAAGATAGAAAATATGTAACATCTTAGAGCCCTCAATCTGAGATGCAACTGAAGGTCTCTGTTGATAAGCATTGTCTTCATTTTCACAAATGCTTGCCTTGCAGTTTTAATTCGGACTTTGATTTCTCTGCATTGGTGATTTTTGTCATCAACCCAGGTTCGCAGATATTTGTATGTGATGACAGACAATTGAGACACATAAATTTAGTTTTTCTCTTATTTATTTTTAGTTCGTATCTAATGCAATAATCGTTAATTTTATTTACCAATTCTTGTAGCAATTCCAGGGTGTCTGCCATTATAACGGTGTCATCAGCGAATCTTATGTTATATACTATTCATCCGTTTACAGAGATTCCATCACCCAGATCCGCTATCGCTTCCTGGAATATGGCTTCACTGTACACGTTAAACAGTAATGGTGACAGAACACAGCCCTGTCCTACTCCTCTCTCTATATCTATATTTTCGGACTTTTGTTCTTCTATCTTTATATTGGCCTTTTGATTCCAATACAGATTGATAATGATTCGTAAGTCTCGTCAGTCTATATCTTTGTTTCTCAGTACTTCTATTAGTTTTTCATGTCGGACCCTGTCGAATGCCTTCTTGAATTCGACGAAACAGGAATAAATATCTAGGTTCATATCTAAGCATCTTTAAGCTTCAAGCATCTTAAGAGAGGACATTAAAAGCAAACAATGCCTCTCTCGTTCCCAGTCCCTTGCGGAACCCAAACTGAGTATTATCCATATCATCTTCTAGTTTTCTATATAATCTTTCATGAATCACCTTTAGAAATATTTTGAGGGTATGGCTTATTAGTGATATTGTCCTATAGTCTGAACAATCTTTGGCATATACTGTTTTTGGTATTGCTACAAAGGTGGACACCAACCATCCTGTGGGATTTTTTTTTAGTTTTATATACTTCATTAAATAGATCCAGAAGTACAGGTAGAGTTCCATCGTCTAGACATTTCAGTAGTTCCGCAAGTATTTTGTCTGGACCTACAGTTTTTCCGTTTTTTTGCGTTTCGTATTGCTTGTTCGATTTACTCCATTATGATCTCTGGCCCGTTTCGCTGTCGATTTCTTCCGGTTGTTGTCGATTATCCTCAAACAGATCTGTTTTGTATATCTTCCATTTTTTTAATTTCTCTTTAATTTCTATAATGATTTTTCCATTTGCGTCTTCCAGAAGGGCATCTTTTTTTTTCTCAGTGTATTTGTCATTTTCTTTATTTTCTTATGCATGTTAAAGCTATCATACTGTTTTAGCATATGCCTCTATTTCACTGCATTGATTAGCTAGCCAGGTGGATTTGGCCTCTTTTATTTTCTTTCCCATCAATCTCTGTAGTTCCTTATAGCCTTACTCTTGCCTTTATGTTTCCTTCTTTCCTCCATTAGATCTAAGATTTCTAAAGTCATCCATATCTGTTTTTTTTTATTTTTGTGTGCAGTAGCTTTACTCCTTCCTTTATTAAAGTTTCCTGTACCATGTTCCATTTGTCATTAACATCTGTTGTTTTTATCACGTCTTGTTTGATTTTCTTTAAACGATCACCTATAAACAGTAAAAATCTTAATCGAAAAATCAATAGAATATAACAAATCACTGGTATTTATCTTCGTAGACTTTCACAAAGTCTTCAATACCATGAAATTAGACAGCATTATGACTGCTCTGAATAATAGGAGAATAGACTACCGGCTAACAAAGTTAGTACAAATATTGTACTAAAACGCCACAATGCATCTAAAACTACATGATAGCATCAAAGAAATTCATATAAAGCGAGGAGTGAAACAGAGCGACACTTTTTCACCTAAATTATTTATAACGGTCCTCGAATACGCCTTTAAAATGCTAAAATGGGTAAATTAAGGAATAAAAATAGACGGAGAAATGCTCAATTAGCTGCGTTTTGCTGACAATATAGTACTTATTACTGAAGATCTGCGTGAAGCACAACAAATGCTACAAGAGTTAGAAAACATATCTTCAACAATATGTCCAAAAATGAACATCAGTAAGACCAAATTTATGACAAATTTGGTTCCCAGCAAACACCTAACCATCCAAAATTAAGTGATGGAATTGACAGAAAAGTACATATATCTCGGTCATGAAACCAGAATAAGCAAATATAATCATCAGAAATGCGTTCTTCCTATTATGACATACGGGGCAGAAACTCCCACTTCCACAAAAACAACGGTACTAAAAATGCGAATGGCACAAAGGCGCATGGAGAGATCGATTCTTGGAGTGACAAAAAAAGATAAAATAAGAAACCAAGACCTAGAGAAACGAACAAGTATCACTGGTAACACATCAACAGGTATAACATTTCGTATAATTTCTGGTATGTCTTTCCCTATATAGAACGTATTCAGCAATATCTATTTGTATACTATATACTGTTTGTTGTATGAAATTTTCTGCCTAGGTCTAGACTACGTTCACCGCTTCTTGCTCATTAAACTATATGCAGGTAATATAGTTGATATGAGTCGGCTTCAGTCTGTCATTGACAAACCCTATAATATCGAAACAAGATAGTATAGGGAGACAAACGTAGCAAATGCGTACTGCATATATACCGATGGCTCCAGAATGGAAGAAGGCTCAGGGTGCGGGATATACTCCAGATCACTAAACCTAAGAATAAAGTGGGGTATTGTCAAAAATAGTAGACACTAGACATCAGAACACTAGTAGAAAAAACCACAGAATATAATGTACCTTACATATGGCATTTATCGACTTTCACAAGGCTTTCGATAGTATTGAGACTTGGTCCTTTTTGTCAGCCCTGAAGGATGCTCGAATAGACTCACGGTACACTACACTCATTAAAAACATTTATGAACAGGCCACATTCCACATCAAAATCAATGAAGACGAAAAAACTGAAAAAATGCGCCTTGATAAAGGTATTAGACAAGGTGATACTATTTCACCAAAGCTTTTTACCTTAGCATTGGAAAATGTATTCAAACAGCTTGACTGGGAGGAAAAAGGTCTAAACATTGATGGTGTACGTTTGAGTCATTTGAGGTTTGCGGATGACATAGTATTATTTAGTACAGATATCAAGGAACTGGAGCAAATGTTGAAGGAATTAAACCAGCAGTCAAATAAAATAGGTCTCAAAATGAACCTTCAGAAAACAAAAATAATGAGTAATTTACAAACTAATCTTGTTATTGACAACGTCAGTCTTGAAAATGTAGACCACTATATATATCTTGGACATACCATTAAAATCGGCAAAGAAAATCAAACAGCCGAAATAAAAAGACGCATACAACTGTCTTGGGGAGCTTTCGGCAAATTAAGCTTTATTGTGAAGAATAAAGATATACCAATGTGTCTAAAACGTAGAGTTTGTGACAAATGTATCTTGCCTGTAACTACATATGGACTGGAGACCATGGCCTTCACAAAGAAAACCTTAGAGCAGCTCAGTACAACTCAAAGAGCAATGGAGAGGGCCATGCTAGGGATTAGTTTGAGAGACAGGATTCGAAATAACGTCATTCGTGAAAGAACAAAAATTACTGATGTCTCAGAACGTATTGCACGGCTCAAGTGGCAATGGGTTGGACACGTTGCCCGCGATAATCCCGAAAAATGGACACAAATATTAACAAACTGGAGACCAAGAGACAACAGGCGAGGAGTAGGCAGACCGCAGAAGAGGTGGACAGACGATATCAAACAAGTCGCGGGCAAGCAGTGGATGAGAATTGCCAAAAGTAGAAATCGATGAAGCAAATGGAAGAGGCCTATGTCCAGCAGTGAACGAACACAGGCTGAAGAAGAAGAAGAAGAAGAAGATTGTCAAAAATGCCAGCGTAGTTCAGACAGAATTGACTGGTATCTCCATTGCCGTAAAAAAGATAACCCAAAAAGATAAAGCCGGGAAACCTATAATAACCTGCACAGATATCAGACAAGTACTACTAACCTTGAAAAGACCACGTAGTAATGGAGTATCACGAGTCACTAACTCAATCTTCGGATGGTAATAACATCATCCTGAGCTGGCTTAAAGAACACAATTATTGGAATAAAGGAAACCGCATTGCTGACCAATTGGCTCGGAAGGCGGCAGGCCTAAGACTTTTAGGACCTGGGGATATTTTTGGGTGGGTTAACTACAACAATCACGAAAATTCTCAAATGACATTCCCATACACAAACCGTGAAAAGTGTGAAGAATGGCAACGATGTAGACTTGGCAGGGTAACACTAAGTAACCTTGAAAAGTCAACATCAAAGAAGTACTTGAAAATTACCAGGAAAAACCTACGCTTGACAGTTTTTTAACTGATCATTGTGAAGTAAGCTAACACCTCCATATAATGGGCTAGTAGGACACACCTCACCACAGGAAGTGTAAACGAAACGGTAGAGCATGCCCGGAGTTATTGTTAACACCAGAGTACGCGTTCGGCGTGTCCTGCCCCACAACTGCCGACATAAGGGAGATGTTGTCTCTTGGTGACTTGTCCACCTTCCTAGAAATGGTAGGATGGACAATGAGCTAAGGACGACAGCTCCCTGGGAAGATGCACAATGGGTCAATTGTAGCATAATTGCTGTGAAACTTAACTCGCTCTCCTTACTTATAGAATATATAAAATACTTACCTAAACCTTTTTTCCTATACATTTCGTCATTGTAATACGTTTGATTGTATTCGCAGTTTTGAGCACTTCTACTGTAGTAATCGTTTTGGTAAGTTGTACTCGTCGGAACTTGTGGGTACGCGATGTTCTTCTCGTTAGCTACTACGTTAGGTACTGAATATACATCTACGTCCGGTACTACTGGCAAGTTATCCGTACTTTGATATGCATAATTGTAGTCTTCATTATAATTTTCTGTGGCACTGATAGCACCTAAAAACAGTATAAATAAGTTAAGCAGAGTAAAATACTAAGTTAGGCAGAGCTATAGAAAATGTTTATTATACTCTGTTTGGAAATTACAAAAATTTCTATACGGGATAGTGTCCTCGGACGTGACTAGTACGCGCTCGAGACGCATCGTCCCGCCCCTCATTTGTCGTATTGGTTCCTGACCTGGAAATCCCTATTTATCGCTACTTCAGCGTGTATAAAAATAGGCGATTTTCAGGTCAACCAGGTCAGTCCCTCACGGGCTCTCCGAGAGCTTAGTCTTCTCGGGGCTCTGCTTTTTCTTTTAGCCTACCCTATACTCTGTGGCTTATATATTATTCAACTTTAAACTTGGTGTTTTATTTTTAGACTATTTAGTCATGTAAGAAATAACTTGCCTTTGTCAAGGCAAGTCACCAAAGAAGACAACCTGATGGTTTATTTCAACGGAGAATTTTCGTCATGTAAGAAATAACTAGTCCCTTTCAAGACGAGTTCATCAGAAAAAAACTTTCCACAAGTTCATATCCTGAAAATGGACTTAGGTAGAGGTGCTTTCGTTGACGTCTCAGAAGCCCTCTACAGAGCACCCGAAGGCAATAGAAGGATGATAGACCGCTATTTGTTCCCCGCGGTGACATGGCGCCCGACAACGTGGATTATTCCGATCCCACGACCCAGCTCAATTCGCATCAGAAGGCAACACAACATGGGTTGAAGTCAAGAGAAAAATGGGGAGAACCACGGAGTGTTAGAATGCTATCTAACACTCCGACATCGAGGCATTCTGCAGACCGGATGCTTTGACGTGCAGGCACCTTTGACGAGCCAGCCTGAGGCGATGACCCAGTCGTCGCCCCCCTACCGAAAAGGCCGCGACAACCCTGGTACTCTAGAGAAGAAGACGAACCCGTCGAAGGAGTTGGCACACTGATCGAGAATGAACCTGCAGGAGCCGGAGATGCCGTCAACACCACCGACCTCCCTATTAGTGCTGTCTTGTGCTAATCCCTATTTTTACTTATTCTTGTGTGACTTTTTTATGGCATTTTATTGTAATTTTTGATATTCAATAAATTTCTTTCCCAGCCACAGAGTCTTCAGAGGAAGGGGGATGTCCTCGGACGCGACTAGTAGGCACGGGATGATAGGAAGGATGATAGACCGCTATTTGTTCTTTCGCGGTGACAATAGAGACTTGGACTCTTCGCGACGCAAGCGCCAAAAAATTAATGCCTTTGAGATGGGTTGCTGGAGAATGCTGCGCATACCTTGGAGAGCTCAAAGGACAAACGTTTCCATTCTAAACCAACTCGAGATAAAAAAAAGCTGTTCACAATATATATGTCTGTAACGTATTCTGCAAATTTTTGGTCACGTGGTTCGCAGTGAACTACAACAAAGTAGTAGTTCTCGCCAGATAAATAATCCAGATCGAACTTAATTCTTATTTTTTTTACGGTATTTTATATTTTCGGCCAGTGTTCCATCTCCAACGCGCAACGGTGCAATTGGCCAGCGATAACAGCGTTATCGTTTCAAAGTTAATATGTTGTTTTACTACCTTCGATTCTTCAAAACTATACGATTACTACCTTTTTCTTTTTCCAAAGAAATTATAATTGATTATTTTATTTCTGCTAGAAACTCTTCAGAACAATGTTCTTGCCACTTCTTGCAGATAGCGCGATTGTTGTCATGTCCCTCTCGCTTCCGTAAGATGGCGTGGTTGCTACTACAGAGCTGGTAGCTAAGGAAAGCTGTTTTCCCGCTTTAATAAGTATTAATAACGTTAAAATATAGATACAAAACAATTTTTGACACGGACTATATTTGATAGAGTCTGTCTATATTTGAACTTAATCGGTGAACTTTTTTAGCTTTTGAAGCATATATAAACCAATTTAACGTCTACATTAAATGGACGTAAAAAATAAATTTAATTAAATTAGTTTGTATAACCTATATATCATATTTTTTATACATTCGGAGATATTTTAATAGTAATATTTTTAAATGACAAATTGGTGCAAGTTTTGATTATAATGTAAGTTTGAATAACTTTTCTTTTTAATAGGGTACATTTTTTGTAGAGCAATATGTAAAAAACTGAATTAGTTTCTTAACTTGTCAAAAATATTTGTAGAATCATAAGAAAACAAATAATTTGTTACTTACCAAACCGCATATAACCGTTATCTAACTGATTTTCCGCATAGTCGTCTGCAGAACTAGTTCTTTTCAATAGCCTATTTCTCTTTCCTTTAAGATTTGGATTGGGCGTGGGAAGTTTCCTTCCAGGAGTCATCGCTCTCGTCGGTTCCAAAGTCTGCGCGAGTCTCGCGATGATCCTGGAATTTTTGGTAGGCGTAGGAGGAAGACTGGCCCCACGATGGGACAAGGATTCTGGGGTTTTGTATCCGTCCTCCTGGCTCTGCTGAGAGAACTGCCTCCAGGAAGTCTTTCTGTTGGGTACCTGGGGCATTCTTCTGCGACCAGTGGACATTGGTCTCATGGGTTCGTCGTACAAGGAAAAGGAGTCTAAAAAATATGAAATAGTATTTATAATTGACAATTTAAATATGTGAAATACAATTTTTAGTTGTACGTTTGCATTGACATTCCCATAAAATTTTAATCTTGCACTCCGTTCTGAAATAATCTCTTTAAAATATAGTCTATCTATTGCAATTTGACATAATTTTATATTCCTAGATGTGTGGCTAAATTAAAACTTATAGTAGGACTAGAGATACAAAATATCACACCGATGTATAATCAATCAATCCCAACTTTATGATGGAACATTATGTTATCCAAGCAAGGCATACCAACATGGAATCCTACAGACCGATGTCTCTTATACTCACTATAAAGAGAGAGAAAGGGAGACTCACTAAATTTCTTAGAGTCCACGATATGATCTTAAACTATCATTATTGGTATCCATTATATGAATACCAATCTGGTAAATCTACCTCCCGTGCAATAATGGATCTTACAATACAGGTTACAGAATCCATAAAGGACATCGCAATAGTCACATTTCTAGATGTACGAGACATCCTCGAAGCTAATCCACTAGCTTATAGAACCCACCTTTAACTTCCAATTTTTTTTTCCTTACCCCGGACAGGAGCAGATTGACTTTTTGCGGTTTTCCAATCTCATTACCCAACTATACATGCCCGTTCCGGAGAAAATAGTCGCAACTATTTTATCAGCTGAGTCGGAAGTTGCTAGAACCATCTATCGAACTCCGACGAGGCCTGGCCGTTAGCGAAAGCGATAAATAACAGAATTATAGCGCAATACACTAGTTCTGAAGTTGATCGCAATTGCAAAAACGGCTTGCAGGAACAATGGTCACCAGAGAACACGGATTTAGCCTCCGCCGGCTCAGATTCGCACACATTCAATACTAATAATACATTTACACAAATCACACTCACACTAATCCAACACTGAAAGGAATTCTTTGTCTCTTTCCACCGACTGCAGCCCCCGTTACTTAACATGGTGCCTGTGGTCGGACGGGGAAAATCTAGGTGACTTGATGGAGCTAAGTAACAGCGAAATGGTAGCGTCCGTCTTTGTTGGGTTAAATACACACACATTCACACTGGACAAAATGCGACAAGTCGACTCTCAAAAGCTGAGGACCTCAATTTGCGAGCACGCTCGACCACAAAATTACAGTGCAATACACTGGTTTTGGGGTCGAGTACAAACTCGAAAATGATTACAGGAACAATAGCCACTAAAAACCCGACTCTGTCGCATCTAGCTCAAAAAACACACACAATCACTCTGGAAAGAACCTCTCTCACCTCTAATTCAAATAGTGACAGCATCTCGACAGCCTTCAAGATGCTTCACCAGAAGACGAAAGCTGACGCCCCAGTGGTTTCTAGGACCGTTTACTTTTGCTTTGCTTTTTTCAAAAACATTCAACTCAAGCCTGACGAAAACGGGTACAAATATGTTCACTCCTTTCGGAAAAAATAAATCTTTACCCTATCCCGCCTATAAACATTGGATGATGTTGCATATATAAAGTAATACCTATTTTTATCATTCCTTTCTATATACATTGAATGTATAAATCATTTAAACTATGAGTCGGGACAAGTCAATTGTAAAAAAATTACTATACAAACTGGATATTTACCTGAATTTTGTACAGTCGGTACGGTAGGTAACTGTTTATTGGTAATGTTCTGTAGAGCCGGTATGGAGGGTAGTTTTTTGGAAGATCTTGGTTTAGGGGGAAGGTACGGATCGTACCCTCCGCTATCCCATTGGCGATCCTCATCTTCCTGCCCAAAGCGTCCATCTTGCGAAGAATATGGCACCGTATCATAAAACTCGTCGACGCTTTTGTTCTGCTGGAGAGATTGATACCTAAAAATAATTTACAGAACATTAAGTTAAGAATATATATATATATATTAAAACCTGGAGCTAAGATTAATACTATTACAAGAATTCATATTAAACTCAAGTCTTCCGGGTTGAATAGCGTCGATTATCATTGCGCTGAGATTTCGACATCTTCTTTATTGTCTTCCGAGATCTACGTTTCCCAAAACCACAGACACTACTACAGTGATCGCTAACCAATTCTTTATATTAACGCATTTATCTTCCTTTCTAGTGAGTTGCGACTTTCGCCAATGATTTTTTCGTTATCTATGTTATCCTTCTTTTTCTTGAGGTGCCTATCCGTTCCGGATATTAACAATCAGCACAGCTATCCTAACTTTACTTGCAGCTATTCGAAATAGTCTGGTTGTAAAAGAATTGAACACCTTCCTTAGATTTTAAATCCAAGATATTTTTCTTCTTCCTGATCCTCTCTTTCCAAATACCTTGCACTGAAGAGTGAGTTGCAATAAGCCATGCCATATCTGTGTTCATGTCTCATAACATGGCCAAGATATTCTAATTTGCGCTTTTTAATTGTGTTAGTGATCTCACATTCCTTGACCATTCTACATAGGACCTCAATATTAGTCACATGATCCACCCATGTAACCCTTTAACAGCACATCTGGAAGACCTTGAGCTTTCCTAAAGAAGTGTAAAGTTTCCTAAAGTAAAGGTGGTATATAGAAAATACATACCACCTGATGATAGAGAGAGGAAGTGGTAAATCGTGACTTTTTATCTATATAAACGCTGATCTTGCTTTTCCTATGCGTTGTTTATTTGTAGTAGAGTTGTGTCATTGACTATTAATGTTAGTACCAAGATATGTGTAGCTGTTTACCCTGTGAATTGGCTGTTGGTTTACCGAAAAATGTGTATTTAATATTTCGCGCTTAATAACTACCATGTATTTTTTTTTGTTTGTATTAAGATTCAGCCCCAATTCTCGACTTATATCTGATAGGCGCGACATTATTGCTTGTAAACCATCTAGACTATCTGCAAAAAGCACTGCGTCTCAGCATATCTAATGTTGTTTAGACGCACTTCGTTAACTAAGACGCGCTTTCCTGTAGTTGTCCCAGTGCTTTCTCGAAGATACGCTCCGAGAACATGTTAAATAGCACTGGAGACAGAATGCATCCTTGTCTCACTCCTTTATCGATGGAAATTTTTTCTATCAGCTTATCATCCATTTTAATGTTGGCAGTTTGGTTGTAAAATACATTATATATATTTCGCAAGTGTCTATTATCCAAAACTGCTTCTTTTAAGATGGATATGAGCTTGTCGTTTTTTACTTTATTAAATGGCTTTTTGTTGTCGATAAAACAAATATATACATCACATTTGACATCCCTACACCTCTCGATAAGCACGTTTATAGCGAATAGCTTTTCAGGTGCCTAAGGTATCGCGGATTCCAAATTGTGTCCATGATACTTGTTCTTAACATTGTTTATGTACTCTGTTATGTATCACTTTTAAAAACGTTTTAAGCAAGTGGCTCATTAGGCTAATTATTCTGTAGTCTTTGCATGTTTTTGCATTTAATCTTGTAACGTTATAAACGTCACATAACTATTAATTTATATTTAAATAATTATTTCATTTTAATTTCTTTATTAATTTAATAATTTGTTTATCTTCAGTTGCTTTTTGTGTGTTTTGGCTTGGACAATTGTCATTCAGCCAGTCCCAATCAAGATAAGTTTATTAATGTAGTGTGTGTGTGTGTGTGTGTGTGTGTGTGTGTGTGTGTGTGTGTGTGTGTGTGTGTGTTTGTGTGTGTAGAGAATTGTCTTGATACTTAGCAAAGTCGACGTCATTGTCTTTGCTAAGAGACGCTAATTGTATCCGAACGTCTGCGGTCCTCCGGTGAGTACCGATCACACAAGGATAGAAATTATTTTCATTTATTAATATTTTTTTAATAAACGAAAATTTCCACCCAGGTGAGATAATTTTTACTCTTTTTTATTTAAAAAGTAGTTGGCGCCCTCTCTGTCCCTCTATATTGATTGCTTCCTCTGTCATTATTTACTCTCTCTTTCTGTCACATAGAATAAATATTCGCCCTCTCTCTTTGTGTTCTGTGTTGACAGACAAGTTAGTTTCGTGAAATAGCAACATCCTATGACATCTGTGCTAACCTCAAGTAGTTTTCCACTTTCTGTCAAAACAACTTCTAACGTGGTGGGATTATTTTTTTTTTACTGATTTTGACTTTATAAAAGAAGACAAAAATTATAATTAGACTTATAATTGTCATATTTATTCTATAATTCTGACCGCATTTCCGACACTTCTAACCTTACTTTATTTATAAAGCACATTGGTTTTTTTTTATATATGCATTAGGACTCTAAAAGACTTTAACTAACAATCATAGTAACAATCATATTTCATTTTATCCTTGCCATACGCTATTTGTGTAATTGTAACTTTGTAAGATGGCAAGGAAGTTAAACCTTTTTCCCTAATGTGTGTCTAATGGAAAACTACTATTTTGTTTTAGTTTATTGGAAATATCGAGAATATACCATTTTATTGGAAATATCGAGAATATACCATTTTATTGGAAATATCGGGAATATACCCTTTCATTAGGAGTGTTTAAAACAATTCAATATATAATACCAAGCAATATCTCCATTTTACTGGAATTATTGACCACATAGGACCACGTGTAACTGCAGTTCTCCAACCAACAAATTCCATTGGAGGACCTAGCAGCTAGGACACACAAGTAGCCATCGAACAAAGCAATAAGTATTGCATTAATTGTTAAGCTTTGGCAGGTTCTATTATTGTGCTTTTTTTTAATAAATATGTTTGGTTAAAATTTGTTTTATTTGCTATCAACTGAGAACTCAGGTTCAATCCCTATTTTAAGACAAAACGAACTCACCCTTGAGATACTGAGCTAGGCAAGGTGTAGACGATAAGCTCCGTGGTTGATCGAAGTATTATTTTCACAATATTACTTCAATTCTTTTTGGTAGTCTTATCATTACAATCACTTTGGCATAGTTACTAAGATTGACTTTAACCAGTTTTGGGGAACATTTCCAGTTATATATATATATATATATATATATTTTGTTAAATATAGTCGTTATCCATTTTATTCCTTGTTCGTCCATAAGTTTCGGGAGTTCTGTATAAAATTTGTCAGATTCTATAGTATAAGTGGTTTTCATTTTTCTAATAGCTGCCGTGACTTCTTCAATGATAATCGGGGTCCTGTTTGGCATTCTATGTCTTCAATGGCAATCTACCTTTCATCTGCAAATGTTACTTTCACATATTTCTTTCAAGTGTCTCTCTTCCACACTTAGCAGTGGATTGTCTACCTTGGTTATCTGCCAAACTTCCTACTCCTCTAGCTACTCCTCTTGTATAAGCCTTAGTTTCTTTAAATTTTTTGTGCATATGGAATGAATCGTGTTTCTGTTGTAATAGCTGTATTTTTGCACATTTTTCACTAAGCTGTGTGTCCTTAGACATTCTGATTGCTTTTTTAATCTTTTGGTCTCTCATTATTCTTGTCTCGCATTCATCATCAGTAGCATTACAGCTCGTTATGAGCCAAAGCCTTATTCAGAAAAATCTTCCATTCGCCTATGTCTCTGACAACTCTTCTCCATGCTTTAACTCTGTTCTTGGACTCCTCCATATATTTTCCTTAGAATTTTTCTCTCAAAATGTTTAAGCAATTCTTGGTCATTCTGTATAAGTGACCATGTTTCTGACCCGTACTTTAACACTGGACTTATTAGTGTTTTATATATGGTGACCTTACTGTTTCTGGGTGGTTTTGGGGCCATATGTTTCCTTAAGTCGTAATAGCACTTATTGGCAAGCACTAATCTTCTTTTAATTTCTTCACTTACATTGTTGTCTTGCTGGTCAGCAGCGAGCCCAGGTAGACGAAGGTGTCTACACCTTTCAGTTCTAGATCATCAATTAATAGTCTAGGTATCTGGTTGCCTGATCTAGTACAATACATATACTTGGTTTTCTGTGAGTTTGTTTTTATTCCCATTCTCACTGCAGACGCCCTTAATGATCGAAATGCTTCGATCAGAGATTCTTGTCTCACATTACTTAACATTTTTTTTTGTTTTTGAAAAGGTTTTGGCTTTCCTTTCCTCAGGTAGCGCAATCCTCCGTGGCTATGTTAGTTGTAGCTCTAGAACTGTAGGGTCTTCCGATATTATTGCTGCAATTGGTAACGTTGCGCTCCTGAGTGATTCTTTTCTCAGGTAGCTATAGCTTCCTCTGTGGCTTTGTTGCAGAGCCACCAGGCCGGAATGCAGACACTTCTGACTACTGCCACAATTATACTAGTATTGTATTAATTAATACTATTTATTGTTATATATATCTTAAAAACAGGATTTTTCAGTCTGTGTTTGAATTGGTAAACAACACCGCATTATGATGCAATTTCGACCTCCCAGTCTCATCAGATGCGGAGGCTAAATACAAAATCAAATACAAAGAACCAACAAATGTCTCCTGAATTGTCCGATTATCACTTCAGTGAAAAACATTCAGGGGTCATCCATATGTACATATATTAGCGGAAAGTGTGGGTGTTTATGTATTTAATTTTTTAATAGTGAAAGTACGTATTAAATAATATTTTATTACCTTTTTGATAAGTGAACTTACCCTGGTACAGTGGTTGCAGTATAGACTGAATAATCATAGTTCGGATCATCGTATAGGGTAGTTTGTCTCTCTAAACTGGGTCTTCGAGCTACAAAACAAATGATAAATACAGTAAAATTTTAAACTATCCTAATTTAACTTAACAACTACAAACAAAAACTGTAGATATAGAGGATAGAATATTTTTCCAAATAGAAATGTGTATCTAGGAATATAAATTTACAAAAGGGTGATAAAAACGACAGAGTCTATTTATATATGAATTCAAAAAGTTTGAATTAAAACGGGCGAAGAAGAAAAGTTGTGATAGAAGAATAATATGATCGATATATGAAGGAGTAAACACCGAGGAGAGTTGGAAATGAAGCAACGAACACATCAACAGTTAAATGGTTAAAAAAAATTGAGGAAAATCTTATTAGGTAGGGAGAGACAGATATTAAAAGCAATTTACGGAAAAAAGAGGATTGAAAATGGGAAAGAAGAATCAATAATGAATAAGAATTATTATTGGAAGGGAACCACATTATAAATTTCGTAGGAGCACAAAGAATTCAATGGTTTAGGTACGTGCAAATGATAGATAGGTATAAAATGCCTAAAATTGTCTTCAGCAGGCGGCCAATAGAAAAAAGAAAGACGGCCAATAAAAAGATGGTATAAGGGTGTTGCAGAGGATATAAGAGGTATTGGAGCACTTGACTTGAAATAAATAGCAAACACCAGAGATATATTAAGAAGAATAGTAAACATTTATATCGAAACCAGAATATAAAAATGGTTTTTGTAAAAAAAAATGTAAAAATGTAAAGAACTATTATACAACAGCACTCAAAATACTATTTTCAAGTTTGATTAAATTTTAAAGCTTATACTTATATAAATACATATTCATTTAGTTTAACTTACCTTTGGAGTATTGTGAAACCAGAGCATCATTGGCATCTACGTAATAGCCGGCGTCAAAACTATCACCGCTGGGATTGTAAACTGCGCTTTCACAACTCAACCAAGTTTCATTACTGTAACATTAAAACAAATTAATTTAACAGGCAAGATAAAACAAATGTTTATTTATAAACCAAGATACAACAATTTTTGTTGTTTTGATTTTAGTTTTACTGTTTTGTTTGACTTAAGTCAAACTCTCCCTTTGTCATTGTGCCTTAATTTGCCTTTATCCAACCTCCTCCTCTATCGTTTATTCTTCGTAAGGATGTGGTGACGTTATGGTATTTGACGAATGGTTGCTATCCATTATTCTCTCTCGTGTGCGCGGTGTGCTGACTCAGACAGAGAGTAACCGGTAGCGCACTTTATTTGGTCTGACCATCGGAGTGGAGATCTACCTTGCCTTTAACCACCAACCTCTCCAAGCCTTCCATTCGTCTGGTTATGTGTCCAAAGTACCTCAATATATTTTGGTTACTGATTGTGGTAAGCCTAGTATTGATATCGAGTTCTATCAATATTGAGACATTTGTGCGATGTGGTGTCCAGGGTATGCGCATCATTTTACGATATACCCACATTTCAAAGGCCATTCATTATAGCGATAGTAAAGGTAAGCGTCCGTACTAGGCACAGTTTCGTGTTCCTGGTTAAGTCCGTATCTTTTTAGATTTTAGTAAGTTTGACCTTTGCTGATCTGGCCATTGTAAGGCAATGACGTATCTCTTCTTGGCATCCACCATTGTTTGTGATAATAGAACCTAAGTAATTGAAACGGCTTACCACTTGAAACCTCGCTACGTTTCGTATTTCCGGCTGGTTATTTCTAATTCGATCGATTATCATTACCTTGGTCTTCTGTACAATAATTTTAAGTCCATATTCACGACTAATACTATCCAGTCTGTTCATGATGTATTCAAGGTTATTTGTCAATGATGCTAGTATTAGAGTATCGTCAGCATAGCGAAGATTGCTGTTTTTTCGTCCTCCGACTGATATTCCTACTTGCCATCCGTATACATCCTTGACGAACTATCTAATCTATCTAATTAGCCTTCTTTGGTCCATCTTTGGACATAGGCCTCCCCAATCCTTTTCCATTCTTCTCTGTCTGTCGCTACGGTCATCCATCTAGAGCCCACGTGCTTCTTGATATCATCTGCCCATCTCATTTGGGGCCTTCCTCTGCTTCGTTTATATTCCCACAGTCTCCAACTATAAGTTGGAGACCTTGACGAACACCGGCTCTTATTTTTAAAATTATCGAAATATATGTTGTTGACTCTTACTTTTGCTGTGTTGTTGATAAACAGTTGTTTCAGTAGGTATATTAGATGTTCGGGGGTGCCCATTTCTCTCGGTATTCCCCACATTTTATGCCACTTTACATTATCGAACACTTTCGAGTAGTCGACGAAGCAAAAATATGTTTCTAGATTGATTTTTCTATAATTTGTTTGAGATTTGACATTTGTTCTCGTATGTCTCTTCCAGGAACAAATTTACATTCTTGTGGGACAATTCTTGTGGGATCTGTGGTAGAAGTATTGATTTTAATCTCTGTTAATTATAATTTGCCGAACTTTACTTGCGTGGGAGATCAGGGCTATAGTGCGGTAGTCATTACAGTCAGTTGTGAGCCTTTCTTATAAATGGGTATGAAAGTGAGCTTACACTAATCATCTGACCATTGTCCTGTGTTCCAGATTTCATTACACAGTTTGAACATTACTTCAATTCCTATGTCTGCTATTTCTTTAAGTGCTTCTGCCGTGATTCTGTCTTCTTCTTAAGATTTTGCAGTTTTTAATTTTTTTATTGCGGTTTTTATCTTCAAATTTAAAATATATGGTTCCTTTTCGTTATTCATTTCTTCTTGATTCACGTCTTCATGGTCACTATGAAACAACATTTCACAATATTGTTTCCATGTCGCTGCTATGCTCTCTGGATTGGTGATGATTGTTTTCAAGTTATTTTTAATTATCTGCGTTTGTGGTTTAAACTCTTTAGTATTTTACTTTGACAAACAGTTCTTTAGATTCTTAACTGTCGGCGTGTTCATGTAGTTATTTGAATATTTCTTTAATATGATTATTTGTGTCTCTTCTACTTGATGATTTTATGCGTCTGTTTACATTTGATTTTTTTTTCAGTTTCTGTTTGACTTGATTAGAAATATATCCTCATTGCCAATTATGTTTTCTGCAATTTTTCTTCTGCTAAATGTGCTGTTTGATCCTCACATGGTGTTGGGAGCATTAAAATCTCTTACGAGGATAAATGGGGATAGGAGTTCTGCTATTAAGTTTGTGTATTATTAAGCCCCTTATTAGGTGGTAAATAGATATTGCAAATGGTGATTTTTTGAGGACACCAGAAGGAAACAGTCAAGACTTCTAAATTAGAAGTGATGTTAATTTTTTCGGAGTATATATCTGACGATACAAAAATAGAAGTATCACCACTTGCACGTTTGGGTGTGAATCTAATCTGATGATAGCCTATGTAATTTTTTAAACTTATGGTAACTTTGTATAATGTTTGTAATTTTTTTTTTCTGAAAACTTTAAAACTTAAATTTGGCTAAACTTTGGATAGAAATCATTGTATAATTATAATAAAAAAAGCATAGATCCACTAACTTTGATCCAGGATCAAAAAATATTTGTAAATATGTAAATAAAAAAGAAGAAACTACAACAAATAAGCAAGATATTTTAAAAATTGCTCAAGATTTTTACTCAGAATTGTATAAGCAAGAAGAACTTCCAGATCCTGATCAAAATCAAATACCAAAAATTCAAAATGTAGGCTCAGAAGATATCCCAGATATCACAACAGAGGAAATAAAATGAGCTCACTCGGAGATGAAAAACAATAAATCACCTGGAGAAGATGGGATAGTCATTAAACAAATCAAAGAAGGAGGAGGAACGTTACTAAATGTATTGAAAAATATGTTTAATGCTTGTTTGACAAGATGCATAACCCCCTCTTAGTGACATAATGCAATAATAACCATAATGCACAAGAAAGGTGACATTTTAGACCTAAAGAACTACAGACCTATTAGTTTGCTCTTCCATACATATAAAATATTCATGAAGATAATAACAAAACGGCTTGTGAACAAACTGGATAGTTACCAACCTTGTGAACAGGATGGGTTCCGCTCCAGATACGGAACAAATGATCATCTGCACGTTGTAAAAACGCTAATAGAAAAGTGTACAGAGTATAACAAGCCTATCTTTCTTATATTCATAGATTATGAAAAGGCGTTTGATACTATAGATCATCATGAAATGCTTCGAGCATTGGCTGACTGTCACATTGACTACCAATATATTAATTACTATTTATAACTGGGAATAAGCCACAATTAAAGATAAAAAATACGTTTATTGACGTTTCAATTTCCAATTCGGAAATCGTTCTCAAAATACAAACAGTAAATTAAACAAATTTTGTTTTTTGTTACATAGTGAAAAAATTCTTCTAATAATTTAATTTTATCTGACTCATTTATATTGACAATTCAGATATACATTATGCATTTTAAAGTAGACGACTTTAAAATGATATTGCAATATTGTTGAGTTGCGCTCCTGGGACGACTTTACTTATAAGATAGTTCATTCGATTACATGAAATCAACTTTAACTTGAGAATATCCGTCAGAAAAAATCATAGCATGTAATTCGTCTTTAAAAAGACAAACACATGACATGATGACAGTAAAAATTCTCCTGTTAGTGATTCCATAGTAAATTATGAGGGAAAAACCAGGAAAAAAAACCTCATAATACTATCCCGACATTGTAAGTATTTGTTCGTGAATTTAGTTTACCTTCAACAAACATCAAAATTCTGATTTTGTATGTTACGTTATTTAAAAACATAAATGATGTATCCTCTATATGTTACTGACTTACTAATACTGGTATTTTCTTATAATAACTTCCTCTTTCAATATTGGTAACAAAGGACAAAGAATTGCATTTATAAAATACCTTGTGAATGCGATCAGTTTTATTTAGGTGAATCATCAAGGCCATTAAATGTTAGATAAGTGAACATCAATCTTATATTAAAAATAGAGAATTTGATAGATCTCAAATATGTAAAACACGCATGGGATAATGAACATAGGGTTCAATGGAATAATTCAAATATAGTCCTAAAAGAAACGGATGGTAAAAAAAGAAAAATCAAAGAAGCGGCTCTAATTATGCTAAATGAGGCCAATTGTGTCGCAAATTCCTCGGCAGAATGTAGTAGGATCTGGTTACCAATATTGAAAGAGGAAGTTATTAATAAGAAAATACCAGTATTAGTAAGTCAGTAACATATAGAGGATACATCATTTATGTTTTTTAAATAACGTAACATACAAAATCAGAATTTTGATGTTTGTTGAAGGTAAACTAAATTCACGAACAAATACTTACAATGTCGGGATAGTATTATGAGGTTTTTTTCCTGGTTTTTCCTCATAATTTACTATGGAATCACTAACAGGAGAATTTTACTGTCATCATGTCATGGATATTCTCAAGTTAAAGTTGATTTCATGTAATCGAATGAACTATCTTATAAGTAAAGTCGTCCCAGGAGCGCAACTCAACAATATTGGCAATATCATTTTAAAGTCGTCTACTTTAAAATGCATAATGTATGTCTGAATTGTCAATATAAATGAGTCAGATAAAATTAAATTATTAGAAGAATTTTTTCACTATGTAACAAAAAACAAAATTTGTTTAATTTACTGTTTGTATTTTGAGAACGATTTCCGAATTGGAAATTTGAAACGTCAATAAACGTATTTTTTATCTTTAATTGTGGCTTATTCCCAGTTATAAATTAGTAATTAATTTACAATGCCACAAGAAAATAGCTTCAGAACAATATACCAATATATTGCCTTGATTAAAAGTATTTACGAAACTGGTACAGCTTGTGTCCGCCTTCATGAAGATACCAAGAAGTTTCGAATAGAACGTGAAATTAGACAGGCTGATACTATCTCCCCTAAATTGTTTACAGCTGTTCTTGAATATAT